CATTCTGCTGCCAGCCCTGGTTAAGAACACTGATGGGAGGTGAAGTTAACTAGTGAAGGATCCGAGGAGACATACGCAGACACACATACATGGAGTCAGAACAGATAACGGCCGCGAAGTGCGTTTTATATTCGAGATTTCACATACACGATTTAAAGGGTAACTAATATAAAGTGTAATATTTTAGCGGCAAGTGGTTAGCCTCACTATAGAAACAGTCTAACTGCTTTTGCTTATTTATATTGGTATATTGCTTACTTACCCTTTGCTATTGCCCTACACAAGAATATGTACAAACATTGAGAGCCGCTGTAGCAGAGTCAAAATCCTTGTGTCAACACACCTGGCCAATTAAGCTGATATTGATTCTAATTAAAAATGCCTCAAAATGTAATCCTGTGAATAATGAGCCGAGGTTGAAACAGCTAAAGGAAAACGTTACTTCACCTCCTTCTCTGTGCAGTTAGTCATTAACCAAAAACTCTTTCATTGTTCAGGCCTACTTAAAATGTAGAATTATTGAACTCTCTACACATTTACATATTATTTCCATATTCTTTGCCCCTTCATACAAAGTTAACACAGCAATGCGGTTTAAGCTGTTTCAGCAGCCAGCTATTTAGTTTGGCTCAACCATTCAGCACACAAATTGCTCCAAGTACATAATAATAGCTTAATAATTATGCACAATGACTAGAGTGTCATTTATACATTCGTAGACAAGCTAAAACGTACCCTTTGGCGCAGTTTTTGTGCCAGTAACCGAAGCGGTAGAAAATCTCGAATAAGAAACCAACTTCGGCGTTGTAAACATAGGAGAATCACTGACATGCGCAGTAGGACATAAGCGTAAGTACGTCATGACGTCTGTGCCTGCTCGGCCGTTCCCACTGCTGACTGAGCTCTGCACAGAAAAGTAGCTTGTGACAAGTTAAAGGTTATGGGGAGGTTTAGACTTTGTCAAGACACTTATACCAGCCTGTGTATAGACCAGGGGCGTTGCTAGACAAAAGTTATGAGGTCACAGGACCCTCATAACACAAATGACTTTTTTTCTTGAATGTTTATTGCTTTGCCCACTATTCCCAATGCCTGCTGCTACTAAACTATTAGTAAAGATAAAAATGTAGAAATATTAATCTTTATGAAAATATTTATTTCAACATACATTAAGAACATTATCAACATGTTTTTATGGCATAAAGATCTGGCCCTGTATTGCACATTCTATGGCATTCTTCTGCATTTCATAGTAATAACTAATTTGTCTGCCAAGCAGCCCATTTGTCTATCAACAAATCATGAATTTAAAAAAATCAATCAAGTCATCCTTTGTAACTCATAAAGCCACAAAACATAAATTCTTCAATTACTTTGAAATTGTATTGTGCAATGGATAGCTGGTGGTGACACACCTGCCTACATAGAGGTCCCTGCACAGACATCTTTCTCCACACTTTCCCTTTCTCTCTCAGGTTCACTTGTTTGTTAAATGTCTATAACACAAACGTTATTTGGACTGTGTGACAAGACCATCAGGTATATTATTGGCTATTCATTAAATGCAGAATGAATAGTCTAACTTTAACATGGACCACTATGTGTGATGTACACTGACTGGCCACTTTATTAGTTACACCTGTACAATTCTATGCACTTCATTGCAACACTTCTGCCTTAACATCTTTTGCCTTAAATGTATAAATTCAATGATATGATTACTATTGAGGCCATAGTTAAAGGTGGTGTTGTACTGGAATACATTATATTCACAGGTGTTCCTAATAATCTGATCCTCTCATATATGTAACTGGGTAGGACAAAAATATAGAGACAAGGTCTTGATTTATAATTTATTAAAGTGCCCATGACATGCTCATTTTGCTCGTTTCCAGCCATTTAATGTTTAATCTTGGGCACCTTTAGTTTAGCTTTGCTCCCATCATAACTCCAAATAATCTGTAATTATTTCAGAACCATACAACCAGAGAGCATCTTCCTAAAAATGAGAGAATAGTTCATGAACATGCACAGTTCCTGCTGTGTTGTGTTGCAAGTGGACAGCACAACTAACCCCAACAGCATTAATTAATATGAATTTCTCCTCCATAGCGGTATGTACCGATGAAAAGAGATTTGTAACACTCTAAACAAAGTGTGTAATTGAGAGCACCCATATTTTAACTGGCATAATGCAGACATAGTAACTTCTACAGCCTTACAACAATTCTCTTTACAGAAACAATGCATTAACAGACATGCAATGTGTGTTGTTATTTTTTTATTTAATCTTAAGTCCCGAGTAGTGGAAACATCATTCACTTTCAAGTAGTTCCAAGGTCAGTAAATCCAACCAGCGGTCACTACGTCTTCCCCAACACGACCACATACAGTCCCAAAGTAGTGAATTTAATTCCAGCAGGTAGCGTAGCACTGACAACAACATCATGGATCATTAATCTACTCCTTAACCTGCATCACATCACATCTGGCAGACACACTGGCCTCAAGCAGTCAAAACAAACAGGTACTGTGCTCCGTGGAAAACCAGCCTGATCACAGTGCAGCAGCAGGAGGTAAAATATATCCTCAAAAACGTGCGCAGTTGAAAAATTGCACTGTTACAATGGCACTGGTGGATGTCAGGCAAGCTCACATGAATGCACAACTGCCTGGAGATTATGCCCATTCAAGGAAATCATTAAGCTATCACGCAATAATTTTTGTTACAGAAAAAGTCTCGCTCGCGAGTTTGTGGGACGTGTATAAACTGAGTAGCTTCTGCATAGAGGTACTAGAAGATACGTACACCTCAGTTTTTGAGCTTTAGGTCAGGTCTAAGATGATAATTCACCGTTGTAACATTGTAGATGAGTCCAAAAACAAGGAAAAGTATGCCATAGGCTCTTTAATTCAATTTGTCAATTGATGCCATTCTGCTGTTGTTTTGACTCTAATGTGTGGTCAAAGATGTCACAGTGCTCCTTTTTTAACCTTTAGCTTTTTGCATTGTTTTTGATGTAATAATTCTAACTTGTGATAACATGAACTGTACTGGTTACTGGTTAATGATACTGGTTACCAAATTAACTGTTCAACACTGCATCTAGAAAGTGGTTAACTATAAGATAACGCTGCACACACAACCAAGACCACAAAGCTACTGAATCATCATCTTACATTAATCACATTTTACTTAATTACACAGTTGACAACAAATCAGGACAGAGGCACATTCAGTTCACACTGAAACAAAAACACTGTAACAACACTGGTAAAGTTTGTGGTTGCCCAGACATTTTCTACACTTTTGTAACATTCACATTAAAATGGCAACCGGTGATGGTTGCCACACACAGTTTTGAACCTCACACCCTATGGGAAAGTGTATCATTTCCTTTCGTTTTTAACAGAATTCAGAAGTTTTAATCTTCGTGTACTGTCCGATGATTATAAGCAAATTATTCACATACAAACACAGCCATCTTAAAGGTGTGTCAAAAATTTCTAAGGTGAGATATGTATAATTTCTGTCATATAACTGTTAAAACAGAAGTAGTGGATCAAGCTCAATTAAAAAAATAAAAGAAAATCATTTGAATATAGAGAAATATGTAATAAATAAATAATATGGAACTAAACAGCAAAATGCAACTTCTGCTGACATTAAAGTTATAATACTAATAATCCATTTTACTGTAATAGGATTAGTGCATTTATGTTCACAATATGAAACAGAATAGACCATTAAAAGAAGCTGAATATTTCATTTTGTAGCTCATTGCTGATAAAAGATGGACCTCCATGACTGAATCTAGGGATTTATCACAAAAATACCTTAATCCACTTAAATAAATGGAGAAAAATAAATGTGTAATTTTTAATGTTTTAATTTGGTTTTATGATTAACAACATTCAACTTCCAATTAAACCCTTGAAGAAAATACTCCCACCTTTTGCAGCAGCTGAGAGAGAACAGTTCCCGGGGAGAGCAAATAGCAGCACCTGCCAGGAATGACTCATAAAATGCTCCTGTTTACCACAGTAAGATGACTGTGTGTCAAAACCAATACAGAAAATCTAAATGATAACATTCTTGTACATTTTAATTTTCACAATCAATGCACAAATAAAATGCTGATCTACAGCATGTTCTTTACTATAGGTATTACTACACTACCTGTTCACCCTTGTAGCAAGCTGATGATTTTCAAATGGCACATTAAAGAGAGCTGCACAAAGACACAATAGCCTGTGATACAGACACATTTGCTAGGTGAACACACGGACATAATATTCTGGGATGCATAACAGTACTTCAGCATTGCAGCCATGAGGGTAGTGGTAGCGGTGGTGGGCAGTTGAATATTCCACAGTAATTCCCTCACCTGTACACCTGATTCATCGTCAGCTCTCCCCATTACAAAGTCTGACTGGAGCTTCACAGTTTAGCAGGTTTTACTATTATTCACAGAACTGCAGCACTAACAGGTTTCCAAAACTATTAACAAACAGTCTTTTTAATATCTGTCATTTCTATATCAACAGTAACATCATCATCACTGCTTTGAGGTGATGGATCACAGTGTGGGCTGGGGACTGATGGCCAGGGTGGGGGGGATTGTGGACAGAAGAGCTGGCACTTTCAGGTTTAGTACAGTCGATTACATTGACATGTGTTCTGGGAGCACATAGGAAATGTCGTCCCAGGGATGACGATACAAACCCTGCTTCAGCCTCTTCTGGTCCAGGTAGTGACCTGAGGAGATACCAAAAGGAAGGACTGATTGACATACAAAGTGCCAGTATTTGTCATCTTGCATGCATTACTGTCTCCAGCAGTCTACACAGAAACGACTCACCGATGAATCCCATGCTGCGTCCCAGGACGAAGATGCCATTCAGGGCACCAATTTCCACAAACTCATCAGCTTCATCTCTACGGTGGCATGATGGATGGGGAAAGATTTGATTTGAACAGACATTGCACTCAGTGTTGGCATAATACAGTATGGGGGATGTGGCTGTCATTTGGCATAAGAAGTTATTTTGAGTAGAGAGACAGGTCTCTGTAAGATGACACCTATTTATTATATCACTGAATAAATCCTTACACTTGTAGGTTTAGCTCAAAATTATTCCAAGGCAGTATGGGGTAACAGGTAGGCTAAATAAAGCACAGAACCAAGGATCTGAGTTGTCTTTTAACTCTAAAAGAAGTGGCTCTACTTTAGGAGACTGTAGACACTGAAGATCCGGTATTTATTGGCTTACCTTGTAAAACCACCACAAGTCCTGAGCAAGTCCACAAAGGCCACACCAATGAAGCCATCCACATTTAGGATTAAATTGGGCTTCTAATACCACAAAGCCAACACAAAGGGGAAAAAAAACATTCAGATATAAAGTATGTAACTATTTAGTAAAGAAAGAATAAAGTAATAAAGCTTACTTTGGATGTGGTGATCTTCTCTACATCTAGAGCATAGTCCAGCAGCTGGGTCGAGGAGAAGTGCTGCTTCACAAAGTCCTTCAAGATCTGGACTCTCATGTCTGGATTATTAATCTGTGGAATTAATCAGTTTTATTTATTTTTATAGTACTAGCTCTTTACATGTTATTCCCAAGTCAAAAAGCAACATTAGCAATGTAGCACAGCTCTGTTCTTTGTACTCTTTTAAATGCAAGTTCTTCCAAAACAGCTAAACTTGTTGGATATTAAACAAGTATGGTACTTACCGACTTGACTCTGTGTCCAATGCCCATGATCAGCATGCCATCCTTCTTCATCTTGTTGACAAACTCCATGGGTAACATGCCGCTGTCAAATGCCTTGCTGAACTGCTTTGCGGCCGCATCCAGAGCACCTCCGAAGCGGTCACCCTGAAAAGTGACAAAAAAGATTTACATTTTCTGCTGGAGTTTCTCAGGTCAGTAAATCAAGTACATGTATAAATCACAGTTGTAAGTGTCTTACAATGGTGAGGAGACCAGAGGTGAGGCTGGAAATGAGATCTTTGCCAGCTCGGGCACACACAATAGTGTTGTGGGCACCAGAAACAGCAGGGCCATGATCAGCTGTCACCATCAGGCACATCTCAATGAACTGGCAGGCATACCTGGGTAACCTGCACACAAAGGGAGAAAATATCACATAATGTGTAAATGGTTCAAGGATTTCTCAAGAGTGTGTTTACCATAACTACTGGGTAAAGAGTCTGACCTCCTCTGGAACCAAAGCAGCCCCAGAGTTCCTCCCAGACCTATTTCTGACTTGAAGACCTCAGTGATGGGCATGCCTGCGTAGATGAGCTCTTGACCTCTCTCGTCACAGATACTGGTCATGAAGGAGGCTGGCTTACGGATCAGACCAAGCTCCTGCAGAGAAAACGGATGCAAACGGGTAAAAGAAAATTTTGACTCCACGTACTCGTGCTCCATTTCATCTCATTTTAAAAGAGGGGGATTCGGTTTTCCCCTCATCTCACTCATCTGATGAGCTAAAAGTTCATTTAAATTTATTTTATATACTTGCTGACATACTCACTCGTGCCCAAGAATAATCCATTGGCACAGTGGGAGGAGGCAGCTCTCCGGCCGGCTGAATAACTCCTTTGGCAACAAGGTCATCATAAACAGATCTGTACAGATGAAAACAACATGCAAGACTGTGAGATGAGAGCAGGATTCATTATAAAAAAATACTGACAAACTCATCTGAAATTTATGTTAGCCTGAAGTAATGAACATGACTGTGTACTGACTTGATTATCTCTCCCAGTTCATCAAAACTCTTGGGGACAAAAGCACCAGCCTCCTTTAGAGCCTTGTTCTTAGCAACGGCTGTCTCAGAAGCCTGATTGGCACAGGCTCCTGCATGGCCAAACTGAACCTAAGGGGGGGAAAAAAGGTGCAACATGGGTCAAAAATATCATTAAAAACACTCATTAGCTCTTTGAATCTATTATGCAACTGCCTAATGGTGCATGAAATGCACCAGCCTCTACATCTGCCCTCTCACCTCTGAGGAAAACATAGTGGCACAGGTGCCGATACACCAGCAGACCACTGGCTTTGTGATCCTGCCCTGTTTAATAGCCTGGCAAATCTTGTACTCCTCTGTGCCTCCAATCTGTAGAAGGGAGATACAGGATGTAGCAAATCAAAACCTGGTTTAAGCTGCAGGCACCAGTGTGTGTAGATTTATTCCTCACCTCTCCTAGTACAACAATCATCTTTACTCCAGGAGTGTCTTGGTAGCGCAGCACATGGTCAGTAAACACAGAGCCAGGATATCTGCAGAAGCGTACAGAATTACACACCAACTCTCCCTCACATGCTTACTTACTACAAAAGACAGTTACATACCTATCCCCACCAATGGCCACGCCTTCAAAAACACCATCAGTGGTACGGGAGATGATGTTGTTGAGTTCGTTGGACATGCCGCCTGAGCGGGATACATAGGCCACGCTGCCTGGACGATAGAGCTTGGAGGCAAGAATGTTATCTAGCATGCCTCCGGTGTTCCCAATCTTGAAACAGCCTGGCTTGATTCCTCCAACCTGGGGGAAAACACCCATTAAGTTGCTTAGGATGAAAAGTCACAGAGGGAAATCATCTGAGATCTCATGAGAAGTGAAGCAAGACTAACAGTGGCCGGTCCAATGACTGTGACACCCTTCTCATTTGCTGCCTTGATGATCTTCCTTGTATGGGCTTCAGGGATTCCCTCAGCGATGATGGCAATAGTGTGAATCTGAAAGCAAATTAATAAAAAGACTTAAACTTTAGAACCTTTTTCAGCTGTTAAGTACCTTGCAGATGGCACAAAATGATGGTGCACTTACTTGTGGGTACTGCATGGTCTCCATAGTGCTATCATAGGCTGAACGCAATGAGGCGAAGTTGATGAGCACGTCCACATCTGGGTACTTCTTCATGGCATCACTCATGTTTTTGTACACAGGGATGAGGATCTCCTTATGACCCCAGTAGAACTTCTGTTTGTGGTCTCCACTGGAAGACAGCAATGCAGAAAAGCATTTGTCACACAGTGAGAAAAAGAACATGATGACTTGGGAGAATTTTACTACATGACAGCAGACCAAAGTAAACAAACTGAAGAGGAGCACACTTACGTGAACGGGTAGACCAGAGCTGCGACAGATGGCTCATCTCTGGAGCAGACATAGTCAAAGTCCAGCATGCCCTGTACTGCCCGGGTCTGCATACCCCACACTAGGGACTTTGTGTTTTTGCTGAAGAGTGTAGTTGCCTTGGCTACAAGGAAAGGAGAGCTGTTACAGCTGGAAACCGTAAACAAGATGACCAAAATGGATGTGCTCAGTGAACCGTTTCAGGAAACTGACAAGGCCGTTTCTGGCATCAATAAATTATAAAAAAAGCAAAAAGAGACAGTCTGTCACTACAAAGCTCAAGATGCTTTGAGGATCTGGAATTGTAAACAGAACGAAGCTGCCAATTGCTTTTATAAATAATTACAACAAAAACAGTATATGCAAACACTGTCAAGTTCCACTTTATTGAGTTTGGATTGCAGAGTCCTCCTGCTGTCCAAAGAGGGAGCTATAATACTGAGACTTCATTATACCTATCATGCTGCCCTGCAATGAATCCACGGATGAGAACACATCAAAACCTCGGCATTAATAGTGCAAAGATTTACCAGTGCAATATTAAGGGTGTTTTCTCACCAGCAGGAGCTCCAATTTTGGTCTTCTTGGCTGGTGAGGCCTCTACTCCGGCCTTGTTTTCAGAGAAAGAAGCAGTTCTGCTGGATGTTGGAGTCTGGAAATGACCAAAAAAGAAAAAATTAGTCAACTTTTACTCTGCTAAGCACATTTAAAAAATGTGTGTGTATATTATGAAAAGAGCTCTTTTCAGAATTGATTTAACTGTAAATACCTATGAAATTATGCTCCTTTATATTTTATAAACTTGATAAAAGAGCAGGGTAGCACTAAAGCTCAGATTATTCTATGAGACATCACCATGTCAATTTGTCTTGCTGCTGACTGGAGCTTTATGAAGGATGGCTAAAAAGATTTTAGTACTTTGAGCTTGCCAAAAAATATTTATTAACACAAATGCTTGGATTGTATGACTTTTATTTTGTAATACTCTTGCTTTATCTGTAGTGCACAATTTTGTACAGTGTGTGTTTTTTCTCCTTGTCATTTTTATGTCATATAAATCTCTACATTTGAAGCAAACAAGCAAAAACCGACAGGTGCAGACACACATACATTGTGCTGAAAGTCTACACACTGCACTTAATGGAAACCTCGAGGCAGTTGCAGTGGGTAACTGTGGTCACATGACTGTGTGAGTGAGAGCAGTTCACAATGCCCTGCAATGTTCTTATACAAAACAGCTATTGGGCTCCTGATTATCTGGTTCACCAAGTCTTCTGCCCACTCTACTGCTGCACTGGACCACACTATTGGTGGATTTGGAGATGCAAAGTGACAGTCTATTTGTATCTGTAGAGCCAGTATGTGTCATACCGATGTGCTGCCACTGGAGTTGAGCAGGAAATTGGCAGTGTGGGCGGCAACAGGAGGCTGGTTGGGGATCGGCCGGTGGCCCAGTGCCATGCCAACGATGGCAGTCATGTGAGTTTCCGTGCCAAAGACATGAATGGGTATCCCAGTGGTCTTGCCTGAGAAGAGCAGGCAGAACAAAATTAAATGTGGTGTATGAAAATCAGCAGGTGCTTGGGGGGGGGGTTTACTCAAGACATACTGACACAGTTCAAAATAAGAATGTGTAACATACCAACTTCCCCCATTACTCTGAGACCTTCCTGGTAGTTGGGGCCTCCACGACGAACAAAGATGGTGACCTCATGCTCCTTTAGTGGCTCCTGATAGTCTCTAATAGCCCGAACAATCCCCTAGCAAAGACAAGGATACACCCAGTAAATAACCTGACTTAAGTGCATAAAGTTACTAAATAAACAAAAAGTATGTTATATTGTACCTTAAATGTTGCTGCAACATTTGTGAAGTTTGCAATGCTTCCTCCAATAATCAAAACCTTTCCTGGAACATATTGTGCGTCGCACTGCGGGTGGTGTTGCGGGTCTTCTTTCAGTACACATAGAAAGTTTTGACATGGCAGTTTTTCTACCATCAGGGTGCTTCTCTCTGGTCATCAAGGACAGGATTGTCTTGGCATAATCATAGGTCTGCTGTTCACTTGGCGCTCCTGAATACTCCCCGTAATTTGCCAGCTCGTTGACACCCCCCAGGTCGCAGATTGTGTCACTAGGAAAGGTTTACATTGGTTATCCATACAGAGGAAAAAGCAAAGGGAGCAAGAGCTGTCTCCTATATGGGGGCCATCATTCTAGCACCAACAATAAAGATGATTTCTAGAAATACTAGAAATTGAGCACTTAACTCCAAAATGCACTTAAATGCACTCTCTGTTTATTCTGGATTAATATTGCGTGGTACACAGACGCAATTTAACAGTGCACAGAGGGAATAATTAGTCATGGCTGATGTGTCTGCATGTCATGCTTTACACCCCTGACAGATGGCAGAGTGAGGGAGAGGCCGCTGATTCTCCCAGGCTCTCAACAGAAGAGCAGCATCTAAGTATCCAATATAGCAGGCAGCTGAATGGGCAGAGTCTGAGCTACTGCACCAGCAGTCTCCCTACTGCATCACTGGCACACTCTCCTAATGCTTAACCCGATTACGCATAGTGCAAGCGATATAATGAGCATAATGTCAGGGGACAGATTAAACAACAAAGAAAAACATCCAGTTGTATTACTTCAGTCACATGGCTGATGTTCTCTTATTTATTCAGGATTTGTTTTGTGTGGTTTTGTCTTGTTCCGACGCTCTAACCGGGTACCTGTACACTACTGAGGCACCTCCTCCTGCCACCATGGTCCAGATCCTGCCTCGAGGGTTGAGCAAGGTGAGTTTGAGGCTGGCGCCACTCTTGGCATCTAGGTCGGCAATGTAGGCCTCCTGCAAAAAAATATGGCCAAGGTCAGTGAAGAGATGAGAGAACTGCTACATGAATGCTGCAGAGGTCCACTACATTTTGTCACAATTCATTGCCTGAACTCGAACTGACTTGAAAAAGAGGCAGTCATTGGAAATACTGTATAAACATTAAGAGTGATAGTGAATGTAATGCACATCAGTGGTTGTCTGTGACAGTCAGGGACGCAGCTGGTGGCGAGGAAAAAAAAAAAAAAGCTCCCAATCAAAGACACCCACTGTCCCTCACCGCCACTCTAGACTCACAGCAGCCCAATTAGACCAGCACGTCTGGTACACAGACAGCTTGTTTCAAACAAGCTCCTACACACATCAGGAAAAAAATAGGAAAAACATCCTACATAAACAAATATAATAAATTCTGCCAATACTATTGTAGTTTTGCTTAAGTAACATTTCAAATATGAAACTTTTACTTGTATTTTTTTACAGTGTGGTATCTTTCATTCTTTGAATCAAAGCATTGAATTGAAATTTTATTTAAATGTCAAGATTCTGGGTCAAAAACTACAAGTGGTTATAATTCTAGGTGCATCTGTATTCTATAGAATATAATAATGAATTATGGAGGCAAAAACGTCTGGCCCAAAGTTCTGACGTCACAAAACAACATACATCAGATTTCCTGCTTTTCTTTGTTACTTTTATCACATCAATGATTTGTATAATTTAATAACAACCAACATGGCACTCCATTTCAATAGTTTTATCTCAAAATCATGTACAAAAATAATTAATTTTCTTAAGAACCCTTGCCTAAAAAATTCAACTGAAATGTGTTGTCTTAAATGCATGTCAGATTTTTTAAGGGCTTTCTTTGCAAAAAATTAGAATGACGGGCTTGTCACTTGTGGGTGGGGTAATTTTAAGATGGGGACCGTGGGCCCCCTTGGCTATGCCGTCGTATGTGAACTGGAGAAACCAGGGATTGATCCACCGACACTGCGGCTAGGGGACGACCCGCTTTGCCTCCTGAGCAGTCTCTCCAGTCCTTTCTCACCTCAGGACAGGCCTCTCTGCCAAAAGGTGGAGGGAACTCCACGTCACCCCACTTGGCCTTGCAGATGTAGTCAGCCGTGGCGTCAATCTTGGCTGCCATGTCCAGCACGTAAACTCCTTCTTTTGTGACCACTGAGGATGGAGGAGAGAAAAAGTGTTGAGTCTATACCCGAACAAGCTTCACACACACAGCCAGCTACTAAGGTGTACCATGTTAGCACTGCCATAAAAACTTCGAGAACACATTGCTCAGGGATAGATGACCCACAACCTTCCCGCTGTTCTTGCAGAAGGTGGAAGGGAAGTGAATATGTGGTGGAGGCAGGAATAGCCAGCCTCAGCACCCACGACCATGTCAGCAACATCTGCCAGAGGGTATGTACTGGTCTCCAATTAGTGGATTATAAACACACGCTGCCTTCATCAAACAGCAAGTGCATGAATTATTCACTCATTTTCTCCCTCAGCGTAAAAAAGTGTGGTTGGGTTCATGATTATATTTTATTATATATTTGTGTTTTCCTCCCTAATTTCCTTTTAACGTTTGATGTTCCCTTTCCAACTTCATAATCTGATAACATATTTATCAGGCAGAGCTTGTGAAGTTACCAGGGATTTGAACAAAACCAAGACAAACCTACCCAGTGGGTTGATCTCCAGGTATGTGAAGAACAGGTCTTCATAGAGGTTGAAGAGTCCAACAATGAAGTTGGCCAGGACTCTGCAGAGAGGGAATATTCAACACATAAAAACTCTGCTGCTGCAGCATTTATCAGGAATTATCGTCACATTAGACATGAAACAATTAGTCGATTCAGCAATAAACCAAAAGTGAATGCATTTATTTTGATAATTTGTGTTTGTTTGTACTGTCTGAGTGAGTTTTTAAGCAAAAGTAAACATTTGCTTATACTAGATTCTTCAATGTGAGTGTATTCTACTTCATTGTAAATTGAATATCGATGGATTTTGTTTTGTTGGTCAGACAAACAAGCAATTTGGAGATGTCACCTTGGCCTGTGGGGAAATTTAATATGCATTTCTCACTATTCTGAGATTTTATAGACAAAACAAAAATTGGTAGATTAAATTGTCAAAAAAAAACACTGTTACTTTGAGAAGTCATATCAATGTGAAATGTGTAGAATAACTAACTTTAGGAAGGCAGAAAAAGAAAACATTCAAATTTCAACTAAACACACACAGCCCATTAAATTATCCTCTAATTTGCTAAACATTCACATCATTTTAACACCAAACTCTTAAATGTATACACTGGTTTAACAGTTTGCCTTAGAGGTCAACAGCTTTTATTTTGATACTTTTAATAATTTTATTTACATATAAACAAATATCCTTAATGTTTTATGCTTTTAAGTTTTATTAACGACTAATCTGCAAATCAAATTTCCTGTGGAATAACAATAAAAGAGTACAATTCTCAGTTTGTCACTGAACATCTGTCAACACGCTTCATACGTGGATCATTCAATAGATGATACCTGGGGATTTAATAAAGAACAACAGGGCCATTCAAATTTCCATGGGAGTCAAACCATGACAAACTACAGGCAATATCTTTGAAGAGTTGTTAAGGCTGAAGTGGACAGGAAACAATCTACCTGTAAATTAGCTGCAGAGATGGTGCAGTAGAAAAGGGGAAAAACTAATTTGCCTTCACATGTCAAAGCTGAGCTGTGGGGAGTCGGGGGTTGGTGGAGGAGAAGGTGTAGGGAGGCAGTGTGCTCTCCTCTCCTGCCTGTCAACTGTTTAGGCAGCTCTGAGCCTTTTGTAACCATGTCAGACTTTGTCAGAACTGACTGGCCGCTGGGAGAAAATGGTGACCAAATAAAAAAGAAAATCACAGTGACCCAGCTTCCCACGTCTGCTTCTGATGGCAGGGCAGGAAAACTGCTCGTTTTCATCAAGAGTCTGAAGGCAGGGTGAGGAGGAGTGTGTGGGGTGAGCAGGGGTCGGCAGAGTGATTCCTGAGGTGGCTTCTTCAATGTCAGCCAAGACAGTGAGTCTGGCCAGAATCTGCCATCACAATAGTGCTTCTGGAGAGATGGATGGGAGGGGTTGGAGGGGACGAGCCAGAGCATTGCAGCCAAGAAAAGAAACAGACGTGCTCTGAATGGGGCTGTAGTGTAAAAAAGGCTGGGGGTGGAGGCTGATCGAAAAGAGGCGAAGCAGAGGAGGGGATTTGTCATTTCTCTAATGGAAACCCTCCGCCCATCTCCTCCTGCTCCCCCCACATTTACTGCAAATAACAAGTGCACACTCTCTTACATCAGCTGAATGATGCTGTTGCTTTACGCCACTGGCAAGGAGTTTCATTATGTAATGAAAAACGTCCCTTTTTTTTGCCTTTTTGTAGTTTTTTTTACCCAAGTACAGCAGTATTGATTAATAATAAATATCAGATGGTATGACAGACCGAGTGGGAAAGCAAATCACGTTCAGTTTGTACATTTCCACAGTTCTTTTCTTCAAAATAGCTCAAAAATCTTATTATTATGGAAGTCGTCTATTCTGATCAACAATTAACTGCTAATAACAGCCAAAATGCTAATTCTATTAAGCATTACAATATACAATTTTAGTATTAGACTATTTAGTATTAGACTAGTATTAGTACAAGTATTAGACTTCTTTTTTTATGTGGTCTATTCCCACTTTGTCTTATGATACAAGAAACACAAACTATACCACCAAGAAGTGCCAGTGCTGAATACATACATCTCTGACACAGTGCCTGCAAAAAATGATATGGACAGCACAAGGTTCAAGCTATTGTGTTGCATTATATTATATACAGTAGGTCCTCTATTCCTAATATTGGGCCCCCTCCCCATATTTTCCTACTGTGCATCACAGACACAAAGCTGAAGTTCTACATTCCAATTACTGTCCAACTCACACTTTCTTGTCATTAAGGACGTGGGTCAGCAGCTCTTTCTTCACAGAATCTTCGCTGATCTTTTCATCCACGGCAATCAGCAACTTCTTTGCTTTGGCATCCACGTCTCCCACATCCACCCCTCCCTCATGGTGAAACAACACATAGTCCCCTTCCCGACTGGCGTAGATGCACACGTAGAACTCCTCCTCCTGAGCACCATGGACCATTGAATTGATAAAGGCGTCAATTAACAAATGCCTTTTAACAAAACGTTTCAAACTTACAGGGTGATAAAGTTGATATGAGTGGTTTACCTGCTTATGGGGGACAAATGGCTCAATGAGGAAGTTCTTCAGAATGCCCTTAGCTTTTCCCACCTATGGATTACAAACAGAAAAATGCCTTGAGGTGAAATACTTAGCAGATAAAAGATAGCGTTACAAGCTAAACAAAATATTAGCATTGACACCAGTGGGGAAAAAAGACACACTCCACCACCTCTCTGATCTGCAGATTGTAGATGTTTCCATAATGCATCATTCCCTACATTACTCATGGGAAAAGGAGGGAACAAAAGATACATAAAAAAAAATACAAATAACACAGGACCACAACTTGGTACAAGTGAACCGGCATTCTAAATGAAGAAAGGAAACAGTTTGAGAAGAATGAAAAAGAAAATATCATCACGTATTAGTCTAGGCAGAACCCCGCTAACACAGCTGATTTAGTGAGGCTGTCACTGTTCCTCTGTTAAAGGCCAGCAGACAAAAAGTAACCCTTACTTTGTGTTCTCTCCGGCTGGCTGAGAGCAGTCAGCCGGAGAGAACACAATGATTTGAAAAAAGGGAGAGAGGGAGATGCCATTTTGAAGATTGCATGTAGAGAAGAGGTTAATGAGGAATAGGGGGGAGACTGTCTGACTGAAAATCCCACAAGAGGTTCAGGCTAATTCAAATAAATTGACTGGCACCGCCATTACTGCCTTGACGATAAAATGAGAACGGCATGTGAGTGAATGGCCGGCTTCTAAAACAAAACACACCAACAGTACTTAGTAGATTGACAAAACCCTCCTACGCAAGTTGCAACCACAGTCTATGGTTGCAACTTGCTGGAAATGATGAAATAAAGCTTTGGTACATTATGTAACACCAGGTTCAAGTTTATTCTACTTTCCATATGTGAACCATATTCTGTGACAAGTTATCTGTGTGGTTTCTTTAAGTCTACAAAATCTGTTAAACTCTTTAGACAACAACACACATAACATAACTCCACAAGTTGAAACACTGCACTGATAATTACAGATGTGGCTTCATTTGTTTTCTTGTTTACTGCCACCAGCAGCTGCTGACAGTTTCATCTCATCTGTGAAGCAGTAGATCTACACAATCTCAGTGCTTTATGAATCATCGTAGACTCTCCGTAACTTGCTTCTTGGTTTATGAGGCGTCTCGGTGGCAGTGGTTGTGTCAACTGGATAAATGGACTCACAGTTTATTCACTAGCAGCGCTCGCTTCTGCCGACTGGACTGATTTACAGGCAAGGCACTAGCACCGAATCCCTCAGCAATCTGGGGAGCTGTTTAGCCAAAAAGCACACACAAACCAAATGCACCGGTGCAAAACAGAGGAGGGTGAAGGAAAGGACAGCAGGAAGAGTGACTGAATAAAGCAGTGGTACAGGGTGGGCCACGGAAAAGAAACCCACCTCCAAAACGATCCACTTGCTCGTTCATCTTGGCGGGCTACTTTTCGGTGACTCACCCTGTATAATATGGATTGGAGGAGTATTCAGCAAAGTACACACTATCCCACAGAGGGGTGGGTGGAGGCGACTGGCAGAAAACAAGCAGAGAAGGGGAGGGTGGATGACGTACTGTTGTCTCTTTCATTAGGCGAGGCTTCAGCCACTCTCTGACGCCATTCAGGTCCAGGTTGACGCCAACCAGGCCCAGCTTCCCTCGTCTCTTGATCAGCTGGTCCGGCTTCACCACCAGCCTCTGGAAGAGAGAAAGACAAAATACAATCACATCCTGACAGAATATTTCTATTGTATGCAACAAACTGGGCACATTAGTCAGGTTCTGTTACTGAAATGTCACACAGACTCCAACTGTGCTTCATTCCTTTTCTTTATATTCAGATTAGATTAGTTTTCTATTACCGTAAAGTATTTTGGGGAGAATATACGGTACAGTATAAAGCAACTGATTGAGCAATTAATCCTGAACAAACTGTCAGATTGTTCTAGCTGATAATGAAAAGTATTGTAAGTTACATCCTAGAATCAACAGACATGGAGTCTGTGGGAGCACATTTCAAAGTGAGTCACACAACAAAAATCCAGCACAAAAATGTTCAATGAACTGCATTTAAAAAGTTGCAATGATCCATAAAATACTCTATAAGCAGTGAAGTGTTATTCTTTCCATCTCAATTCACTGCATGTGACTGCAGGTGTCTGCTTATTTAGTCATGTTACCATTCAGAGTAATATGGGTTTATCAACAAATCCAAGGTTCCAAAATAATATTGTCAGCTGAAAGCTGAGGTGAACGCTATTTAAGTAGGAACCTCCCATTAAACCCACATGATGCCAATGAAGAATTATATCCAAACTGCAGCACTGGAGCCTGTTTCCTCTTACTTGCGAGTCAGATAAAGAGAATGACTTATGACAGTGGAGCCATTAGTATCCGGGTGCTTGCCAGTTTGCAAAGGAAGAGAAGGCCGAGGGTGAAAGTTAATGCAATTTCCTAATCAATTCTACAGCAGAACATATCTCCGTGCAGCTGCTCTCCGAATCATCTTTGTCCCTGATAAAAACCTTCAGCCATGAGGAACAGAGAGAGGGGAAGTGATATTTTATCCTGCATGAGTTAGTTAACTTCTATTACAGCGTGTTTATCTGTGACTACAAATTTCTACCCTGATTGAACTCTGACCACCCTCTGGACAAGACAGGTGAGACTTTTCCCTATCTTTTCATCTTGTGTTCTCCTCTCATTTTATTTTAGTCATGCAGGCAAGATAGCTGCTGGATCATTCTGCTGTCTGTGACGTCAGCTAACAAAAGCCCAGAGACCACTCTTTTGCCAGCCTAAGCAATAACCTACATAAAGAGGAGGTCATTTTCCATTTTTGCTGTGCTGTTTTGTGATATAACTGTTAATGAAAGTAATTTTTTTTTTTTACTTTTGTCAGAACTAGTCGCTGGTCCTACCTCTGTGAGCAGCCAAGGGTGCTCCTGCACCAGGCGGTCAAAGTCAGTCTCAGCTGTCACATTGGCATATCGAAATCTGTTCTGGACAGCCGCTGCTGTGCAGATGTACTTGTATAGGAACTCCTTTCCCATCTGCTCAGAGATAGCTTTGGCCGACATGACTGCTGCGGAGGAAGGACAGAGAGAGATGACCAGATGAGCAGTGAGATGAAGGAGTAGCTACAGAGATGTGGAGAGATGGATGAATGCCAAAAAAATAGGATTATTACGGACAGGGACAAGGAATGAGCGCAAGCTTTTAAACAGCTACAGGTTTTACTGCTTTCCAGATTAATGAAAGATTCTCCTGAAGAATGGAAAAACCACCACCATGTCTGCTATTCGAATGTTAAGGAAAGGTCAAGTAACTTAACCTCGGTTTGTATGACCCGCACATAATAGTCACTTATTTGCCACACAGGCTTCATGTAGGAGCTACAGCAGTGTGTGTGAAGAGCAAGGTAACGGGACTCTAACCACTAGCCTGACCTGATTATTAGCAACACTGGAAAGCAGTTGAGACACTTGTAATGCAAAGAAATAAATTTTATGGTTACTCCATTCCTACCTTGGCACAATGCAACGAAAGTAAAATAAGAAAGTAACCGAGATGTAATAGCATCCATAAATGTTACTGCTAAAGGGAGGAGTAATAACCTTTACACTTTGGCCACCGGTTTCACTCAGCGACGTCATGTCCAACGCACGCACCTCACAACAGGATACAACGGTTTGAAGCTCACAGCGTGAAATTCACTCACCAAAGCCAGGTAAAGATGAGTTCCACCAACAAGAACTCTGCCATAAACAAGATGGAAAAAAGTATCTACAGCTATTTTCCACTGTACAGAGGAGTCATATAAGCAGTTCTATAACCATTTTATTTCAATCACTAAACCAAATTCAGGAAAAAAAATTAACCAATTAAAAATGATGCCATAATCTGGAATTACATCACTGGCAAAATATAGTGTAACCAGGTGTGTATCTTATTTGCTGCCTCTTGTTTTCTGTTTGATTTTTGATGCAAGAATCACTTTACTGGAAGGATGAGAGGACAGCACTGCCCAACAGTCTGTTGGTAAACTCTGCTCCAGCTCCGGATTTCCCCATGCCTTTAGAGGCAAATGTTATCACAGCTTCTACTTCAAATCAAATGGATATCAAAATGGATAATTGTCTGCTCCATCTGTGTGCTTCATTAACACTGGCAGTCATTTCTTAAACTGATCGATGGGCCTGTCATAGACCTTTCTCAATAGTCACAGGCTAGACGAGCACGGTTTATACCAAAGCTAATCCTTGTTCCATAGGTCATCCACTTTCTCTGTGCAACTGACCTGTGAGAGGCATTAAACAGCACTGCTCCATAACGTCAGTAACACCAAGTCCAGATCTTAAAGATAACTTTTAAAACCAGGAGTTGGTGAATGTCTAAATCAGCGCAGGTGTACACATGAAAAAGACAATAAAGGTATAATAAAAAGAATAATTATAATAACACTTACAACTGGTAGCCTACTGTTTAAGACTGACCTACTAATCACTGACTTTGCAAAGGGACTGGGTGACAGATCCTTAAGAAGACGCTTCAGTCAGCTGTTTGGTTCATCAACAAACCAGCCAGCCAGCAACGCCTGTTTGGCAAATATCCACATCACCATGCAGTGAACGCTTCCACCCAGGTAACCGTGGTGTAGTAAAAGTACAGGTTTAACGTGGGCTGTGGTGAACTGAGCAGCTCGTTTTAAATCTGATGATCTTTTGTTAGAAACACACAGAAAGACATAGGTAAAGGAAGTACTTAAAAAGTAAAAGCTTGTTTTAAAACGCAATTAACACTTTACCTTGTTTGTGATGTCTTTCCTTCCTTTGCTAGCTGCGGATGTATATTGTGGCTGGGTGTTTGTTTTCACTGCAGTGATGCTCCTCTCTCCCAGGGTTTTTGTTCCAGTGGTGCCGGAGAAAGAGACTTCCTGTGAGTTTTGTTTTCATGGATAATCTGCCGATAGGCTTGGATGATGTCTCCCGGCCTCTGATTGGTTCATTCCACACCATGCTTTATTGCTGCCTTCAGGGGCAGTGGGAAAATAATCTATTTGCTGTAAGCAAGTATGCATGAATGTATTAAGTCAAACAAGATGGAAGAGAAAGACTAATGTGTTAATATTAGAAATCAGATTTATCTGTAGCTGTGCTTAGGTGTACAAACGTAAAATAAATTATTAATTTTCATTATCGGAAATGTAATTAAATAGGTTCGTAAGGCCCTGTGTGTTTGCTTGTGTAGACTAGGCTCATTGCAATTAACAGCAAAACATCACCTACATGCCCCGTGCACACTTTGCTTGTGCCCGTGAGACATACAGCGGCTCTACTAAAATTGTTTTAAATACAAAACACGGGCTTGACATCTATGCATTGTTATCAAGTAGACTTTGTGAGGCCTTGATTGCTTATACTTATGTTTTGTTTGTTTTTTTTGTAAATCTTGTATATAGAGATCTACCGTGCCAAACGGGAGGTATTTCTACAATATTTGTCGTAGTAAGCTACTTTTTAAAAATCCCATTTTAACATTTTTGAAGATGATCGAAACAGATTCCGGGGAGTACGTGAAGGCATCATTGGTTTCCTCACAGACACCACTCATGGTCGAAACACGGCAAATATACGCCGCTGGTGAGGATTGGCTGTCAGTGTTCTTTACTTGAACGGCAAACCAGTGAGGAAATCACTTAATCTTTCACAAAATCAACACACGCACACTTTCACCGACTGTCCTGCACCTATACCAAGGTCCCAGCTATTTTTAGTTACAAGAAAACTTAAATGTTTGCTGAAACAGTTTTAGGTGTTTGTTCAGTATGCGAGTAAATGCAGTTTAGGTGCAGTTAAATGTGTTAATTCAGTGTAAACCCGACACGTGATGCACCACGGAGGTACCAAATAATAAGTGGCATATTCCACTTGCTCCATCACAGGCAGCTGTTACACCATCTACACAGTAACCTGTGGTGGGAAAGGGCAAGCTGGATACAGATCAGACGAATGGTGCAACCTGTGAATATAGAATATTTGAAGTCATAAAAGCAGTGAGCTATGAAGCTGAGATTATAAATAAAAACCACCTTAGCAAGGAGCCCATCCGTTTATTTCTGTCTTTGTCAGCATGGAGTAAGTGATGGGTTCCCTCTGCTGGTTTAGATTGTCAACTACTAGAACTGAACCATGTCTGAACAACCTGTCCCACATGTCCCTCTGCAGGCTCATCACCAAGGAGCATTAAGAACACAGAAAATTCCAGTACTGGAGCAAGGCATGTTCTTTATTAAGTGTAGAAAACAAGTGCAAAAATAGTGATTCATAAGAGCTACACAAAGCAGGAGTTGCTCTTTCAGAATTACAGTCACAGAGGAGAAATCGAAATGCCACACATGAAGTGCTGTTCAAAGGGAATAAAAGTGGTGCAGTAGAAAAGATTGCAAAACATGGGCTTGTATTCACAGCATCTGATAATTACTAAGTGTAAGCTTAGCAAATGCAAAATTCATCAGCATTCTCCCATTGCGCAATGCAAACATTTTACAAGGGAGGATCTCTACAAACATTCATTTCAATACACTTAACTTTGGCCCATGTGCTATTGTAACAACTACTAGACTGCACACACACAGGAAGTGTCTAACTTTTTTTAAGCTTACAACTAAGCCAAAAGGAAACACCCCACATGTTACAGAGGAAGAGCTACATTTAGCAGGTCAGGAATGTGTTAATACCGTTAACTGGGACGCATGCAATCAAAGTACCTATGTTATCATTCACAGCTTAGTACTAAGAAACACTGACATGTGCAGAAGAGGACACCTAAAGTTTTGGATAACTGGAGCTGCAGGAGGAAGCTATTCTACTTAACACCTCAGCAAAACAGCCAGGTCCTGCAACTCTGGCACTGATATGTGAAACAAGATATTCCTAGTCGACAACAACCCTAACTGAATTAAACGCATCTTGGGTTGTGGTGCAAATCAACAGTAAAGGCACATTGCTTGTAAATTCAGGGTGGTTGGATTCCTAAACACTGCACAGCTTACATTTCAATTCACCAGCCACACATCCCCATTGGCTGCCATTTACAGTATGGTGCACTTTGGCTTCTTTTTCTTCTCAGGTTCTTTTTTGGTCAGCTCCGGCTCCTTGTACGTATAGTAGCCGGAGAAGCAGGCTGGGGCGCAGATGGGCTCTCTGAGGCTGAGCAGCCACCTTCCTTTTCCATAGAAGGTGAGCGAGCCGAGCGCCATCTCCTCAACCAGCTCCCCCTGCTGGCCTTCCTGCTGCAGGGCCAGAATCTCAAGCAGATCCAGACCTGTCTGAACTGGCTCGACACCCTCTGCACACCCCAGAGTAATGTGGGCGCGGCTTCCCAGAGGCAGAGAGGCAGCTGCAGGGACAGACTCTGCCTCCTTTTCAGCATCGGCTGGCCACAGCAGAAGCTGCTCCTCAGTGAGGGACACTCTGGCACCGACAGTGCGGGGAGTGACAAAGAGGGCACTAAGTGACAGCTCAGACGTAGAACCATAGAAATCTTTAACAGCCTGTAGAGCAGGAAGAAAAAAAATTACATTCCTAAAATCACATCTGGCTATGAGAGCCATTAAATTACAGGTTTCCTACCTGCTTCTGTGCGTACTCTTGGGCTCCCTCTGCCTTTCCATAGTTACAGAATTTTGTAGTACAGTGGAGGACTCCTTTGGCTTCAAAATACTGCTCCAGATCCACTTCCTTCTCAGCTTTGACTGAATACAAAGAAATATCAGTTGCTTCTTAAACAATTATACATAAATCTGCTTAGATTTGAATTACCATTATTATATGCAACTTCAAATACTCACAGTCAGACATGTGTTTCTTGAAAGCTTCCAAAGTCTGCAGTGTTTTCAGGAAGTCCAGTGATGTGGAACCAACCTTGTCCTGGACAGAGGACAGCAGAAACCAGGCAAAGAAAAGAGGAATGGACATTTCCTCAAGTGGACCTTTCAGGGTTTCCAGTTGAGCCACCTCCAGCCCACGGCTCGTCTTCTTGGTCAGCTGTGCTAGATCTCTTCTCCATTCAGTTTGTGGCTCCAGGAAGACAGCAACAAGACTGTGCTCCTCAGCAATTTCCTGCAGGCGGGCCAGCCGATCCTGGGTGTGGTTGGTGTCATCCACCACTATCAGCAGAGGGGAAGCCGTTTCTGCACTGCAGCAGGCCACGACAGCCTCATCCAGAGCCTTGTATCCACCTGCAGATGATTCTACATCCTCTGGCTTTACACCATGGTCATCCGCAGAGATGACAGAGCACTGGTCTTTGTAGGTATTGGCTATGGCACGTGCCAGGAAACTTTTACCACTTCCTGGAAGGCCTCTGAGGACAACAAGGGTGCGGCACATACACAAGGCATCTTTGGTCTGCTCTTGTTCTAGGAGGGCAAAGGACAGGGAACCAGGTGCAGGGACAGAATCCTCTTCCTTTTCATTCTCCTTAAATTTAACATCTTCACCTTCTGCCTGAGCTCCCTTCAGAGCAACAGACTCAGCTGCGGTTTCAGGTTCAACTTCTTTCTGGCAACCTGATTTCTCCTCCTTTGACATTTCAGTTTCAGCTGGCTTTTCTGAGGAAACTTCTGCCACCAATGCAGTGTCTGCTGCTTTCTCAGAGTCTTCTGGCTTTGGCTTTTCCCCCTCCTTTGCAGGCTCAGCTATGATGTCACTTTTTGGCTCCTGCTCTTTGACAGCATCTCCTGCCCCTGTATCCATTTTAGTCTGCAATTCTGCTTGTGCCTCCACTTGTTCTAGCACTTTATCTTCTTTGCTGGGTTCTTGCGTATCTACTGGCTGCTGCATCGTGGCTGATTCATGTAATGTTTGAGCTTCTGGAACAGATTCTGCCAGTGTCGCTGGCTCTGGGGTGCTCTCAGCCAGAGGTGCTTGCATAAGCAAACCTTCTGGGTCATTCTCTGGCACAGGCTGTTGTTCAGGCTGAACGTTTTCTGGTTTCGTTTCCAAAGCTGAAACTGGGTGAGAGATCTTTTCAGATAACTCACCTGGTTCTGGTGCCGTCACTGCAGTAGGCACAGGCTCTGCTTCAGATTCTTCTTTGGGCAAAATGTTCACAGGTTCCATTTTCTGCTCAGTTGCTGTCACTTTATCTATCACAACTGACTCTTCTGTTTCTTTCAAGTTTGTGACTTGTGCATCATGACCATTTACTGCAGACTTTTCAGCCTCTTCATAAGCAGCTTGTGGCTTCTCAGCATCTGAGGCATCCTCTGATTTTGCTGCATCTTTTTCCACGACAGCCTCCTGTTGCTGTGGAGTTGTTTCAGTATCCATACCTGGCTTAAAGTCTGACTTTGAACACCACCATGTACCTTAAATGCATAAATTAACGGAGAAAAAATAAATAAATCAGACCAGTGATGACCAAATTCGTAAGCCACATACTACCCGTCATTTACTCTTTACCATTCAATGAGAAGACATGTCCAAATGTTTGTGCACTTTAACACGTTTCCCCACATACTGTGGCTTCAGTACAGTTTTACTTTTCAGTTACTAGTCAAATTAAGGTTTTAAAAGTTTGAATAGTAAAACAAGGCTGTAGCAAGTTATTCATTTAGGATTCTGTGCACACCACTTCGAATGAAATCTACCCAAGATTAATTTAGGAAGAGCCAGCTACACATTATGCACGTTTAATCACATTTATGTTAATCTGATATAATTGGTTCTTTAACCAAAGCCATTTAAATGGAGAGAACTGTGAAATTTGCATTTTTTAAAGACCACATTGCCTCCTAGAAACCAAAATCTAAATTGCTTTGAGGACTATGCTCAATGTCTTAAAGAGGAGGTTTCTCAACACCTAAAAATTTGACAGTGTGGCCATGCAGCTACCTTTTTGTTCAGCAGCCCTGTTACGCCCTCGAGCTAGAGAAAGAAGAGTGGGTGTGTCCCATATGACTTGATAGTTTAAAACCCATATGCATGTTAAAATAAAGACAGCAGTAACGTGGTAGAAACACAGGCGTGACTAAATTCAAACGGAGCAAGGGAAATTTTACTGCGCCAAACCTCGCCGGCAAACAAAGACTAATTAAGAAAATATGGCAGAAAAGTGTGGTTACTTCACCGTATAGCGGCCTGAGATGACATCTAAACAAACACCAGTGTGTTATTTGTCAATAAACTCAGAATTCAACGTGTGCGAAACCACGTCGTGTCATGAGACAGAAGGGGAAGCTTTCACAACTGGCTGCAATGTAGCAACAAAGAAACTGGTGCTGATTGAGCACTAGGTCTTTCCAGCTTGGTATTTCACCGAAACAGAAGAAAAGGGAAATTGAAACTTCTTTCCATTTCACAGACAATTGGCACCAGTAGGCTAAATGTCGCAGTAAGGAAGAGGGTGGCTTGTTTAAAGCAAAGTTTGAATACACCAACTAAAGAACCAAAAAATAAAAATAAAAAGGTATTTCAACAGAAGTGTCCGAAGCCGCGTGCACTCAAATCTCGTTGGAAACACAGGAAAACGACATTTAGAATATTAACAAGTTTATTAATAAGCACACTGTGGCGGGCGGGGAGTGGCGTGCATGCGAGGTTAGCACGCCAGACAAAAAACATTTTAGCCTGGCAGGCAGAAAATATTAGTAGCTAAAGCGCCACGTCTGAACAAGTTGGATGTTTTGGGGCAAAAACAAGTCAATGCCTGTTACTGGAAGAATTTATTTTACGCACTTTGTGTTAAATGACGGATGAGTTTTAGCATATGATACGACAGGCTGTCGACTACGAAACTGCCAGCTTACCGGTTACACTGCAGCGAAGCTCTCCGTGGCACCACTGACCACGCGTTTCTCCTCTGGATACAATGACAAGGCACTCCTCAGCTCTGGCGTCTACTCGCTCCAGTCTTCAAGGGGAGAAACGGAAATTCCCGGGAACGCGCACCCGGGCGGGGCCATAGACACGCCCCCGTGGACCGGAAGAATGCTACTGCAAGGATGTTTTTAAAAACCGAGTAACAAACATATCTGCACAATTCCTATGAATAGAATTTTAAACGTAATTTTATTTCACACAATTTCATCTAATTTAAATGTTTTTTGAGAAACAAACTCCAAAACAAAATGTAGGATATGCAACAACATAAGAGAGAGTATATATTCATATTGGGCATGCAAGCCCAAAGATTGCTGTGTTGCTTGCTTTGTGCTTCTCTGGGTTCATGGCTCATGGTTTGCTACCTGATTCTTTTTTGTCTGTTACCTTAGTGCCTGTTATGAAGGACAAAGCTGGCAAAGTTGGGAGTCTGGATAACTATAGACCAATAGCTTTGGCCAGTGTTATATCTAAAGTTCTTGAGAAGATATTGCTTGATCGCCTGTGTCATTGTATAACAACCACACATAATCAGTTTGGTTTTAAATCCAAGCTGGGGACAGATCTGTGTATCTACAGTCTGAAGGAGGTAGCACAGAAGTACCTCAGACAAAACTCCTCGGTCTTGATGGGTTTTATTGATGCGTCCAAGGCATTTGATAGGGTTAATCACTTTAAGCTTTTGGATAAATTAAGCAAAAAAGGGGTTCCTGATAGCATTGTGAGAATCTTGGCATACTGGTACTCTAATCAGAAGATGCAGGTTAAATGGGGTGGGACTATTTCAGCCTCGTTTGGTGTTTGTAATGGGGTGCGCCGGGGGGGCTACTGTCACCAGCCCTGTTTAACTTATATATGGATGAGTTGTTTGAACAATTGAATAAATGTAACACTGGATGTATGATAGGCCCTAATCTTGTAAATCATTTTATGTATGCTGATGATTTGGCCATACTTTCGCCCAGCAGTGCTGGTTTTCAGCAACTGCTGAATGTGTGCTCGGACTATGGATTGAAGTATGATGTGAAATATAATGCAGAAAAGAGTGTTGTACTGATCTGTCGGACTAAAGGGGACAAAGAACTTTGTTTCCCAGACTTTTGTTTGTCTGGACAAAGGTTGAGTGTCTGTAGAAAAACTAAATATTTAGGACATTTCATTACAGATCAGCTTTCTGATGATGAGGATATATATCGGCAGTGTCGCATTTTGTATGCTCAAGCTAATATGTTGGTTAGGAAATTTCACATGTGTTCTGCTAATGTTAAAGTTCATCTGTTCAGAACATACTGTACACCGTTGTATACTGCCCCATTGTGGTGTAAATATAAGGTAGCTACTTTACAGAAACTTAAAGTTGCTTATAATGATGCCTTGAGGATTCTGCTTAAGAAGCCTAGGTCCACCAGCGCCAGTCTGTTGTGTTCACAGGTCCATGTTAGTACCTTTCAGGCATTAATGAGAAACCTGATGTACAGATTTATCTGTCGTGTGAATAACTCTGAGAACAGTCTTATAATGATGCTGGCTAATCCTGGTTTTAGTGTAGTACGTTACCAATCCTCTCTGTGGAAACATTGGTATAAATGTCTTTTATGATTTTTATTTATTTATTTTTATTCTTTTATATCCTTTCTTTTTCTTTTATTTCTTTTTTGTATGGACCTTGAGTCTGCTAATAAAGGATGATGATGATGATTCTAAGAATGGTTCTCTAGGTTGATCTATTTCCCCATTCTCACTGAAACAGATGCATACTTGACTTGCCACCTCGTTCAAACTAAGAAAGTTTGTTTTTTCTTTATTTTTTTAACTTGATTTGTAAGAATATGTATCATAATATGCAATGGTTTTATGTGCTTTAGATGTTTAGATTCTTATCCACCATGCAACATCATAAGGCATGTGTGTGAAATTCACTCTGCTGCATGTCAACAACCTCAGAAACACAGCCAGACACATAGAAAACACTTTTCAGTGACAGTGCACTGAGCTCATTTTCATGGAGTCAGTCTGGGATTATAGTCTGAATCCACCAGAACTGTTGCAAATTCTCTAAAAATATGGAAAAACTATGTTTAAGTGTACCTTGGAGAATTGGTTGTTTTAAAAGCAAAGGCTGGTCAAACCAAATGGTGACTTGGTTTTGTTTACTTATTTTTGGTTCCAATTGTCAAATAAAAACTAGACTTTTAATGGCTAAAACTTTTACACAAATGTGTACATTTTTCTTTTTTGCTGGATTAGTATTTGTCTGTATGTACTGAATACAGTATCTAGGTAAACAACTGTGTTGCACATCAGTAAAGTTAAAAAACACATATGGTTTCCTCCCATTTTACACTATTTGCTGTTTTCAGCTCACACTGTATTTTACTAATATGAGAAAAATATCTAGTATCAACACACACACAGATGGTATAGACCAGCCATTTTATATGTTATTTTGCTCCTATCCCAAAATGTTATCCTCACAGTCAGTGACAAGACTAGTTTGCATTTACACAATAGTGGTATTTTGTCAAGATTTATGAGGCCTTCATTTGAGATACATAACCAAATTCCTTTAACATGCCAAATTTATTAGCACTAGTTCACTACTGTCTGTAACACTGTGAGGCCAAAGCTCCCAATAATAACTTCATAGTTTCATCATGTATGAACCCCACCAGCACAACCCATATTTGTTTCATACTAGTGTTTGTATTTTAACCAGTGAGAGGTTACTTACTCAAAACTTGCCTATGTGCATGAGGACCTGTAAGCGAATACTGGGTCTTATGCATCAGCTAGTGTCTTAACAAATTTTAACTGAAAACAATAAAACATCTCAAATTGAAATACATCTGGTGAAGGTGCCCATATAACATCTGTTTTCACTATCTGTCAACAAACTGATAATCTATATCACACTTTGTCTGGCATTTTAATACAATTAGTGAGAGCCTTAGAAATGGTTATATCTAAGGTTCTCATCAAAAGTATTAATGTATTTCATTCATAAAAACAAATATGTCAGTTGCCCTTTTGAGGGAGTTGACTTTTACTCGACTCATTTCAGTCACCGGTCGTTCATTTTCTCCAGCTGCACTCAATCTTGACTGGATACTTCCTCATTGTGATAGCTGTTGCTGTGCTTCATGAAGAGCCTGAAAATTAGAATTGACAAATGTCAGAAATCAAAAATGGAACTGGCAAAGGGAAACTGATGACAACAAAGTGGCAACCTTGTGAATTGCATTCATGGCAGAGTCGTCTTCTTCAAGTCCAGCGTAGGTCAGGGCTCTCTCAAAGTGGGTGACAGCGGCTTCAAAGTTTCCCATTTTAACTAATGTTAAACAGAGTGAAGATTACTATTAAAGATCAAGTCAGTAGTGGAGTTTGTACAATGAAAACAGCCTTTGAGTAGGCCACTAAATCCTCCAAATAGTTAAATATCAATCAAATAAGATGACATGATACTGTTTATCAAAACCCCTAACATGAAGTAATACAGTATACACTTACATTGTGATTGTGCCACCAAAACATTGGCATTTATCTGCCATTTCCCATCGGCAATTTCATCAGCTGCAGCAAGTGAACGGACGCCATAGTCCCGGGATTCTTCATAGCGATTAAGCTCCAAGTAACACCGACCAATCTCATGCAACAACCAGGTCTTCTCTAAACCACCACGGACCAGGGGAATCTTCTTTTCCCAGCTGAATTGTAAACACAGAGCGAATAAAATGAAATAAATATGTCATCAATAAACAAGTCTTTCCAGAATCATACTTTGGTGTAAAACATGATGTGATATGTGAAATATGTGATATTTCACAAGTGCAGATGCATTTATTATTTACTTACAACTCAATGGCCTGTGTGAACTGTCCAGTTTGGGCATAGACCCTTCCAATGTTGTCCAATGCACTGGACATTGCTTCTGGGAGTTTGCTGTTGATAACAGATTACTAGCATTTACACAATCCTGGCATAGGATACATTAACTTCTCTTGTGCAATTTCTTCAGATTCTCACCACTGTTTAGCCAACTTCAAGTATTTTTGATGATGGTTTAATGCATTGTCCATGTCTCCCAGGTCAATCAGTGCATTCCCAATGCAACCGTGCAGGGTGGCCAAAACCTCTTTCTTATTTGGAACCTCCTTCTCAGACCATCCCTGCACTAGTTTCATGACTTCTTCCGCCTTCTTCAGACTACCTTTTGCATTTCCAGATGTCAACTCTAAGATGACAAACATACAGTAAGCATTTTTAATCTAAAAAGTAAAGCACCTACATGCCAACCTGTGAGAACAGCAACTTACACAAAGCCCGTTTACCTTTGTCAATGTCATCCAGACTCTTCAGGAGAAACTGAGCCAGACCAGAGGGTGTGCTGTAATGGGGCTGGCTACATGTTTGCTGCATGATCTTACGGTCCTTTTCCTGGGTACAAATAGGTTTCTCCTGGTTCCAGAATTCGGTGCAGGTGTCAAGGTATGTGAGGCTGCTCTGAATAACATCCTGCAGTCTTTCCCCACCCTTTGTCTTGCCGTTTACCAAGTCTGCAGACCATTGTGTCACATTTAAATATTAGTCTATTAAAAGTAAGAAACATCACTGCACGTGTTTAAATAAACACTGATCAATTAGGATTGGTGGAAAAACTACTATAATTGAAGCCACAGTAAAAGCAAATTAAAGTGTGGGGACAAACGCATAGTCAGATCAGGATATACATACAAATAAAACAGTACCTTCATCTTTCAACAGGTTTTCTAGGTATTTCTTGTCACTGTAAAACTCCCTCAGCATCTGTTTGGTTGTCCTCTCGCTCTTAGCACTCTTTGAGGTGTGTTTTTTTGTCATATGCTGAATAGCAGTAATTGGCTGTGCCCTCTGTACCATTACAAAAACAATATTGTGTATCAGAAGGGAGGACACGTTAAACATTACATAAAAAAATAGTTAATTATGTGATGACCCATTAGTTTCAATTACTGTATGCTTAGAAAAGCTCGGCATCCAGTCATGCATGTTAAAGACTGGACTGCTGAAGGGGAAAGCAATGACGACTCACCTCTTCTTCTTTTTGCAGAAATGATAGGTCTCCCTTAATCTCTAGTTTTACAGTTGAAGAGCCTGGCAGAGGAGAACAAATGGTTTTGGTTTTTGATGCAGGATGTCATATGCCGTGACAATTTGGAGTAAGCCATAAAATACTATTACACATCGCTTATTACCAACAGAGTTTTCTATGGCCTCCTGTGCTTTCTGGATACCCAGTCTGAATTCCTGTATTTGTGGACGTAGCTTTTGTCCTCTGTGGTAAAACTCCAGTGCAAACTCAAATTCTCCCATGTAGTATAAAGCCTCGGCTTTCTGGTACAATCCCTAAAAATGTATGATAAAATAGGTGCTAATAAGCTTCCCTTTTCACAAATGATCCCATCTTAGCACAGGGTGCAGACAGTAGGGCTGCCATATAGTGTAAATATAGCAATTATTCTTTCTGCCTTGACAGTAGAAGGCCCCAGCAAATATTTCTGTAATCTGCTCTTTACCTCAAAAAATGATTTGTCCTCGTTTAGTGAAGCTTCTGCGTCTTTTAAAGCGTTTTCAGGTTGCCCCAGATTCAAGTAACATTTGGATCGGCCAACATAGCAGTTTTTGTCGCTAGGTTTTAAAGTCAGTGCCTAAAAAAAAGACATAACGTATTTAAAAGTTGACATTTTGCAGTTTGTAAATGTAGTTAAGCGTCGGCCTTAAGCTGCAGTTCATGCCTAACATTAGCTAGGTAACGTTAACTAGCAAGCTAGCTACCCAACGTACCTTCGTGAAGCTGTCTATAGCCTTTTTATACTCTCCTTTAAGGTAGAGCCAATCCCCATCGGCTGTCAAAGTTGAAGGTAACGTTACGCTCTTTGGCTTTTGACTGTCGTGGTCTCCATCTGTGTCTGACATTCTATGCACTTTAAACTTATTCTTCAAAGCACGGCTGACATTCGTGGGAAGTATCTAGCAAACTAATGAACAGCATGGATGGGCCACTGGTATCCTAGCAACGGCACTAACAAACTAGAATCGGGGAAACAGCGCCACCTTCAGTCCGTCTAATGTAGCACAACATTACACATACTGTACACGTTAATAACCAGGGACGGACCTGAGGGCTCATTGCAGGGAGGTGATGGGGGGGGTTGCCTATTGTATACCCAACTTGGCCATATAGGCTTAAATAAAATTTACACAATGTAAAAATACCAATAGTAATTATAATCATGTTTACTGATTCATTAAGAAACACACATCTCTCCACCTGACATCTGTAATGATGATGACACATCACCTCTTAATTTTCTTGATTTTAAATTGGTTACAGAAATTTTCTGACTTGAGCTGGACTTTTTCTTTTGCGCTTTCATTGTTCCCCCAGAAAATGAGTGAAACAGAAATACAGCAGACACACTGATATGACACCAGGAGCCAAACTAACTCAAAAGTGCAAGGGCCCTGGTTAAGAGAATACTAAGCGTGTAAAATCAACTACCATACCCAACAGGCTGCAACCTCCCTCTGGTGCCATTTGCTGCATAAGTCAAGAACCCCTTTGTTCTTGAACCACAGATGTAATCCAAGGCTGACTTTTTCCTTTGCCGCAATCAAAACCAGCAAAAAGACTTCATTCAAAAACATTCAACTAAACAAAATTGCAAGCATTCGTCTAGGTAGTTTGGGCCAGTAGTTTGTCACCGTGGGCCTGGACCCACCAACAGATAATACTCTAATAACACATAACCTAATAATCAAAATATTAATTTTGACAGAGTTAGTAATACAAATACTAGATGACTTAAAAAAAGAAAAAATTATGGGGAAACCCAACTTTATTGACATGGCTGGTACTTGTCAAGGGTAAAGAGAGGATGGTTTACCATAAGGGCAAAACAATGAGCAAAGCTGAGGACACTTTTCTTCATAAAGTGCACCAAGAGAAAAATACAATTCTCAAAAAGTAACTGAACATTGTCAGATTTCCATCATCACACAGCACCTGACCTTCTTTGACACATATCACATTTCAAATGTGTTCTATTTTTATGTCTGTGTGTTGCAGAGTAAAATTAGAAGGCTTGCATCACAGTCAAGAAACACAAAGAGCATAATCTATTTCTCTATAATATTTCATGCAGACCAAGCATAACATTTATCTTCCTGAATTTGTGTAATAATTGGTGCCACTTTCAAAGTTTCACACAAGAGAAAAATGTCCTCACCTTACAGCAATTGTTCTATCAGACAGGAAATTTACAATAAATATACATATCAAAATAAAAAAAAAAAATCAACTATTATCACAAATTAACACTTTACATTCCAGTAAAATGTACAATGCAGCAATCTGTGAATGGCAACATCAAACACAAAACCTGTGACAACAAGAGGGAGAGCAGCTGTGCTGGCAACAAAGACAGCACAGCTGTCTCTACTGTTGTCTTTCTAGTGTGCTTCAGCTGTACTGTATGTGTAGGTCTAGGCTCCAGCTGTTGTGAATTTAAAAAAAAATTCTCAAGTGCTCCTACTGGCTTATAACAGGGAGGAGGTTTTCAGTGCAAATTCACAGCAGCCAACACAGTTTCCTCAAATGGGGAAGGTTCCTCTTGCTCAGTGATTTTTTTCAGAAATCATTAAGCAAGTACTGAACTTTCATGTAGAGAATACCCCCTCAGCAGTAAGTTGAGACAAGCTGGATATTAGCGTGCTCATTTGTTCAGTTGCATCTGAAAGATTTCCCCAGGATGTCACGTCTTGCATGGATCCGTATATGCTCTGATAGAACAGCTGCACAATCTCTCCTATCTGAAAAATCCTGAAAATATTTGAACCAGTGTTGGTAGTCACTGTCGTTTCTTCCTTCTTTCTGGAAGGAAGAAAACCAAATTCAAAACCAGTAACACTAACAACTCAGTCTGAGCTGTCTTGGTGTCCTTGCTATATGGGCATTAAATCGTTTGCTGCGCGTGATCATTAGATTGCATTCAATGGCATAGACAAGAATCTGACTTGTCTGTCAGTCAGTCATTAAATATGGATGGTGAGTTGGCGGTTGACATTGTTGAAAAGTCCTGATGTAATAACTCTTTAGGTAGACAAATCCTCCAATTACCCAAACTGGAAGAAGAAATTTCCCGGTCCAGATGCTGAAATAAACAAGTCAAACAAGTCAGTAACTGAAATACACTGACTGTCTTATTAAAATGACAACATCAGGGCATAGCTTACCTTCGAAACTAAAACCCCCTGGGCCTCCAAAGAATGCCTTGAAAATGTTGTTGGCATCAAAATCTGGCGGAGCCAAAATGCAAGCAATAATGTCAACAGAGAACTTTCCAGCCCAGTTGAACCTTCTGACAATAAAACTGTAAACATATTTTAATCTATTCACCCTTGAGACCTCCTACCCCAAAGCTTGCCCAGGCACTGACCTCCCATGTTCATGCCTTCATCCTCCAGGTCCTGGCCGCTGTCATAGCGAGACTTCTTCTTTGGGTCTGATAGCACGCTGAAAGCCTCGCCCACTTCCTTGAACTTCTTCTCCTCCTCTTTCTGCACCTCAGGACTAGCTCCACTGTGGCGATCTAAAGAGAAGGAAAACAACCACCACAAAAACAAAAAATAATTTTGGCCAAGAGACAACTGTCTGCAGGATTAAGTAGATAAGCACAAAGCTGACTAATAAATACAGCTGGAAAAATGTTTGTTCAATTAAGCACCTGGGTGATGTAAAAGTGCCCGTTTGCGGTATGCTTTCTTGATCTCTTCTTCTGTGGCATTCTTATCCACCCCGAGCACTTTGTAGTAATCTTTCCGCTTGCTTTTCTTTAGCTCCAGTTGGGCATTTTTCAGGAGGTGCTTGTGTTCTACAGAATAAAAAGGACAGGACAGGTCAACAGGTAATAAATCTGAATAAGGAAGACACAGCTGTTCTGAAAGCTGCAACAGCCCAGTCAAAACAGAGTCGTCAAATTCTCACCTTTTGTCTTTTCTGTCTGGTAAACCTTCTCATAGTCTCGCACTGCCTCCTCATACTGCTCTGTGTCCATGTAGCTGCAGCACATTATGTATAAGTATGTTATTGTTCCTTTGTCGATTATGAAAACCCAAACACAATGTAACTTCATATATTTTAACAAAGTTAGAAACCCTGAACATACCACTGTGCTCTCCGTAAATAGGCCTTGATATAGGTCTCATCCAGTTTAATGGCCTTTGTGCAGTCTTCTATGGCCTGGTCTATTTTCTTCAGCTTACAATGAAACAGAAGAAAAAAACAGTGTGTCCATGCAAAGCAGAGATAAAGAAGAAAAGGTAACAGCCTGTTTCATTTGATGTGACAAAAGAAAGTGTAACACACACAACTTGGTAAATACCAGTGTACATGTTGCTCACCTTAGATCCAACAGTGGCCCTATTACAGTACAGCTTGGCATTAGTCTTGATGTTGTTGGGATCTATTGTTAGTGCCTCAGAGTACAGCTCATAGGCTTCCTCAAAGTTTCCCTCCTTGAATGCCTTGTTCCCCTCCTCCTTCTTGGCTTTTAGTGCTTTAGCATTCTAAGAAGACAACAGCACAGATCAACATTAAAACATGCTCTGTGCTAACCTACCAGCAAATTCAATCAGACTCAAAATAGTTCAGAGAAAACCACAATGATACACTTTCATAGATGATTTTACAATACAGAGTCCCTTTCTGGCTGTATTTTTAGGAATTCACACACAAAAAATGTTGAATTGATTTATAAAACACTCACTCTGCACGCGAGCCGGGCTTTGTCATGGTCTGGAGCCATACGCAGAGCTTGGACGAAGAACTGGACAGCCTTGTCAATGCAGTCCTCATAGTATAGACAAAGACCACGCACATACAGTGCATCCGCATTAGTGGAGTCCATTCGCAAAATATCACTGAATGGAAACAAATTATGTCAGTGCTAAAGGGAATAAAAAATTCAACAAAGAGGAATCACACTAAAAACATGGCATTTTACGTTATCACCTTTAAAAAGGTGAAATGACAACTGACATTGATGCAGTTATTTAACAAAGGAATGTAGTAAATGGCATGTTCATAATGGAAGAAGCTAGCTTTGAAAATGACTGTCCATACCTCTGAGAACAAACACCACACCCTTCCATCGTCATTATCAAGACAAATAAACAAGGTGATCGAGCGCAAATGACCTGATGTTTATACAGAACCGCAATAATTCAAGTGTGAGGACACAGACGTGTGGATACGCTTCTCAGCACATTCAAAAGATAGAGAATGTCTGATCTTCAAAATATTCCTCATGAATGCACAAGACGCATAACATGAATGGAAAAGTTTAGACTATATTTTAGAAATGAGAGGCAATTTTGAAATTGGCCTCAAATTACTGCAGATTTGGGTCCAGATGAGGTTTTGTAGAAGGGGCTGACCAGTAGCCAATGTTAGGTACATAACCAGAGACCAGGCAGTGTTTCCCCCATAATAGTACAGGCTGGACAGGCTACCATGCCAATGAGAGCCCCCTACCATGCCTACACAGCAGCCCAGTTTTTTTTTTATGTAGTACCCTCCAATATACACTCATGTAAAGACTCATTTGACCCTCATTTGCATTTGGGAGTGTCTGTCAGGTGCCTCTCTCCATGTCTCCTCCCTGCTTCAATCTGATTAGCTTCTGACAGCTCTGGTAAGAAAAACAAATAAACCTGGGAATACATGAAAAACATGTATGAGAGTAACCTAAGAATACTGCTTTTAATGGATTTCATACATACACCGAGGCTTATGGAATCGAGGCGTTACCTTTACCAATTCTTCACCCAGGCTTCTCTAAGTTACCATAAGTTTGTGATATTTAATATTTTCGTGTGGCACCGCAATATCACTGTATTTGTCTCTTGTCTGCATTTTCAATAAGTTACACCAAAGCTACAATATGTCCGTAATCAGAGTTATAATAGTTTAACAACATAATTAAATCCCTAAGTAATCATCACAGAGCGAATCTGTGTTGTAATTATTGTTACCCATAAAACACATGGAGGTTACCAACCAAAAGTCTGGTGTTGTGCGAAAAATAAATAACCAAAAATGTTTGCACGTGCACGTTAAAACCTCTAACGTCCTCTTGCTACCTCGCCTGAAAAATTTTCTGGGGGAGACACTGCCAGGGATGCATTCACTATGGTCAGCAACCATGGGCCAATATTATCAGGACCTGTTAAAGGAAATTAGTAGGAATGTAATCATGCAGTAAACCTGGTGCAGTCAGTGACCAAAGTCTAATAAAATTCTTATGGTTTTTCCTGATTTCTACAGAGCTCTGTAATAAGGGATTGCTCATTTGTCATAATTTGACTGATTTTACTATTATTTTGAGCATTTTACTTATGTCATAATAACAGTTGCATGGAGCTGGTATGCTATAATAAGGCACATGCACACTCTTGTTTCCAATTCTGCTTTCACCCTGACTGTGACAAATTCCAAAAATGCCAACTGAGTAAGTGAATTTCTCAAATATGCAATCTTACCTGGCTACAGACTGAGCCTCAGGGTAGCGCCCCAGCAGGGCTAAACACTCAGCCTTAAGTATCTTGAACCTGTGACAGGCCAAGGCAGACTCCAAGGCACGGTCCATGCAAAACACAACCTACAGACAACACAGTATATTTGTGTTGCTTGAAATGTCAGTTACTGGCAACATACCACAAAAATGACAAAATGATGAAACACAGTTACCACTGAGTAGCTTACCATCCTGAAGTCTCGCTTCTCAAATCCAATCTCTGCCATTCTCTCATATTCAAGGATGGATTCTGCATTCTTCAGCTGCCGAAGGAATTTGTGATATTCATCGACAATGAGAAGAACCTCTAGTACCCAACTTCACTGCTTAAAAGCTAGTAATTGACTCTCCTATGTGTGTTTAGTGGTTGCAGAAATCAGATAAATGCATGGAGTGGTAGTAATTTTCACATGTTCTTTAGGAATTAACATTAACTCTAGCTGATCCCCTCTTAAACACCCAGTATCTGACTTTTCACTTTATTTGCACTAGCTGGGTCAACATATCTACGACAGCGGATAATCATGTCCAAGTTGTCAGATCACACTCTCTGACACTGAGGCAAACTCACCTCCTGTTGTGCCTGGCTGTTGTCTGGCTCCAGCTCCAGAACCCTCTGGAAACAGCGGCTGGCAGCCATAGCATTGCCAAGGGACAGGTGGCACTTGCCCTCTCGCAGATGGCCCTATGGATAAAGTGACATCATCCCTCAATTCCTAACCCTGTTAAAATCAGTTGGGCACTGAATGCCAAAAATTTTGTGATACATCTTGTATACCGTTCACCTACTATAGGAATGTGCTACAGCTTATGTAATGAGGCGGCATATACTGCTATAGACAAAATAACTACATACATAAAACTGTTCAACTGTACTAAATAACTGCATTCAGAGTTGTAAAAAAAAAACATAAAGGCTAAAGGTTAAAGGTCTGTTGTAAAACCATCTCCAGTTGAAAATATGAACCCATGCAAGACACACCTTCATGAAAGTGTTATCTAGTCGCACTGCTTGCTGCGAATCCTCTAAAGCCTCTCTATACCGACACAACATCATTAGTGTGGCTGCCCGGTTTCCATAATAACTTGCATTCTTTGGGCACATGTCTGTAAAAAAATAAAAATAAATAAATAAAAAAGAAAAAGAAAGTTTGTTTATACCCCACCTAAGTCAGACAGAATTCAAAAGTTGTTGCCTATCCAGTATAACAAGTTATTAACACATTACTTACACACAACAGGAAGATCAAAATTATATGGGAATAATTACCAATGGCCTTGGTGTAATAATTGAATGCTTCTGCATAATCCTTCTTGACATAAAAGGCATTGCCCTGCTCTTTGAAGCCTTCTGCTTCCCTGTGTGAAAGTGGGTAGACAGGGGAAAAAGGTTAAATGCAAATTTAGCACAGAGGTTTGATATGAATGACAGTGAGGACAGAGCATGACTAGCCTATATCTGGTGCTCTGCTGGTTGGGTTTGCCTTACAAATTTTATGTGGGTACTGAACTTGCCTGCAAACATTATTATTCACATTGTAAGCACGTTAATTCTGAGCATCACATCCATAAACGTGTAAAGAGAGCACGTCTAGGACTGTTAATGAGACGTGCATCGGGGATTTTACTGGCCTGAGTTAGCTAAACATAGAAAGAGCAAAACCAGCAGGGCACATGTCTACTCCAATCAAACACGTAGCTATTTTGTGAAACAGACAGGGAGAGCTAAGCCAGGAACATATGACACCATGCTGTGGGCCACTGCCATTACTTTTTTTGGAAGCCTGTCATGTTTTACATCACGAGCACACAGTGAGTGAATGGTGTCATTAAATAGTTAGCCAGCTACTACCATTCTGGAAAAATCACAGTTATGTATAAGCAAAACTATCGAGGACACCAATCGTTACAGTCAAAAGATAATGACAGTTATATTTACATACAGGTTACAAACAATGTGCTTAAACCCAGCATAGAAGCTAGTGGAGTGGAGGACAACCAAGCTAACATTAAGAGGTATCCGGAGCCAAATTTAGCTAAACAGTTAGCGATAGCGCGCTAGTTAGCTTTCATTGTGCGGCGAGAAAATTAACATGTCATTGATTTTGATTGCCCGTATCAGTAAAGGACTTCGTTAAAGATTTATTTCTGTCGTTGACAAAATAGCCTTAATTTGTAGTACCTTTCTAATTCTTCGTCACTGAGCAGGTCCATGTCAGAGTCGATGTTCACAGAATCACAGTTCTCCGTCGCCATTTTGCCGTGAACGAGGAGGGGCGGAGCTACACGTTACAGTCAGTTACGTACACTGTAAACAGGAAGTAGGTCGATAGCTAAAGAAAGCGGCTTGCTTGCAAGTAAAAATTATTATAGAAAATACTTCTACACGCAGGTAGTTCATTTCAGTGTTTATACTTTTGAAGACACATTTTGCTCAGGCGAGTCAGTTTCAGATAACATTAAATACTTGGTATGTATCGTTGCTTTGTATCTCTCTATAAGATAACGATGCTAAGCTATCTCTGAATGTCACATACTGCAGACAGACTAGTAAGCTATTTATTACAGTGAATGTGTATATTGAAACTGTGATAAAATATGTGACTCAACGGGTTTCAATCTGTTCTCCGGCAAACAGGTTTTCCGACACGAAAGAGTCATGGGCAAAAGCTGTAAAGTGGTGGTCTGTGGCCAAGTTGCAGTTGGTAAAACTGCAGTACTGGAACAATTACTGTATGCCAATCATGTTGCAGGTATATACTACATTTTGTGACAATACTGTATTACATGTTTATCAGTTTATAATTCAAATAACACTGCTGCCTTTCGCCGAGTTTGATACTGCAGGTTATCGATTAATCTCAATTGTTTCTCTGCTGTATGACGTCAAAAACACACCAGTCACAGCTTCACAAAATGCAAGGTGACATCTTCAGATGTCTTGCTTTGTCTGACCAACAGCCCACAAAACAAAATGTATTGATTTTAATATTATATGTGACAGAGATATGCAGCAAATTCTGCCATATGAGATGATGGAACCTGAGAATGTGAAGAATTTTCCCTTTTTGTGCTTGAAATTTGTATCATTTATCATGTTACATTACAGTCTGATAGACTTTGTATTATTCACAGATAGAAACTGAACAAGCAGAGTATGGTATTTCAGTTTCAGTCATGGTAATCAGTATATACTGTAACTTGCACATGAAGGTGGAAACCAGAGAGCTTTAAACAAATTAAAACTTTTTTTTTCATGTATTTTGGTTTTATACAAGTGAATATCATCCATTAGTTTCCAGAAACATCAACAAAACAAAAAATAGACTAGAAAAAGAGTGAAATATTTTCTGTTAGGTTCTTGCAGCGGCCAGTCAAATTGCTGCTTTGCTTTCAGTCAGCAGGTAATACTCAGCATGAACAGCTGGTAGAATAAGTAAAAACACTGGGTGATGTGCAACTTGTAATATGGACCATAGAAAAATAAAATACCACAAATGGGTGTGCAATTTGGATTATCATCATATGTCAAATTGAACAGATTTACTTCTACTGATACCCTATCATATAAAGTGTACTGTTATTTATTTCAAGGGAGGAAATGTAAAAATATTCAGTTACAATGTATTAATTGCACATTGTCTTAATACTTGCATAGTATGTCATATTATATGTGCCTGTCTTTGTATACTCATTATTAGGCTCAGAGCCCATGGAGACCTTGGAGGATATATACATTGGCTCCATTGAAACTGACCGTGGCACACGAGAGCAGGTGCGCTTCTATGACACCCGTGGACTCCGGGATGGGATGGAGTTTCCTCGGCATTACTACACTTTTGCAGACGGTTTTGTCCTTGTTTACAGCATTGACAGTAAAGAGTCCTTCAAGCGAATGGAGGCACTCAAGAAGGACATTGACCGTTACAGAGACAAGAAAGAGGTGAGGACTGAACATATTCATATGCCTAGGAAGGTTAATATAAGGTTATTTTAATTAAGATGGGTTAGTTCAGAGGGGACCAAGCAAGAGACCCCACAATAGTTTTCCCCAATTCCATTTCTATATGCATTGCAATGAAATCAATAAATTATTAATTTCAATGTTATTTCCTTTCGAATCTCTTTAATTCACAACAGACAGCCTGCCACAGCTGTTGGCATTGTTAGTACTGTAGCTGATGAGGGCAGTGTGGGACTAATCCAATGACTGTGATCCACAGGTGACCATTGTTGTGCTGGGTAACAAGCAGGACAGACAGGATGAGAGGAGAGTTGATTCTAACATGGCCCAGAACTGGGCGAAGAACGAAAAGGTGCGTCTGTGGGAGGTGTCAGTGGTGGACCGACGCACACTCATTGAACCGTTTGTCTACCTGGCCAGCAAAATGACCCAGCCACAGAGCAAGTCCTCAACAAGAATAAGGGCAGTGGTTCTACTGACAGCTAAAATACTAGATACTGGGATGAAAAGGGACAGGAGGTGTGTTAAAGGGAACCCTAGACCAGTTTTTGATGTTATCAAGGATTTAGGTAGTAAGAGATGGCTTTGAGAGAAATGATGAGCAGAAAGGCAGGTTCATTGTAACTTGGATGGTTGATTGATAGTTTTTATGTACAGTGTGCACTGTTGGTACTGGTATAGCCTCTGTATTTGATGTTTTGGTGAAATACTACTTGACTGAGTGAAAATGGTGATCTCTTCAATTAATATTCCTATATCACCTGAGAAGAATGCAAGAGGTTTTGATTCCCATTTTATTTGTTTGGAATGCAGCTAAACTATCCACATTCTTTACAATTACTACCATTGTTGGACCTACATAATGTAGTTCTTCAACTACTGTGAATCATCAATCATCTCAGTTTATACTAAAACAGTCCAGAGTTTCATTGTGTGCACTGTGTAGATAAATTAGTACCAACACACATGTTGACTTGCTACTACTTTATGTACATGTATTCTACATGTACAGACAGATTTAGAAATGGCAGCATTATTGCCTAATTATTCCATCACACAAATGCTGAATCTCACATGTTGTAAATGGGTGAAGGGATTTTACTGATATATTACTGATGATGAACTGTGCTGTTTGTTGGTTTGGAGATTTGTTACACTATACAAGAGATTCACTGTTGCATGTTGTAGAGTGAATGCTTAACATTCCTCACCATAGATGGCCTTCTTGCACTGTACATGCTTTAGTAGTGAGATAACAGATGTTCAGATCAGTTTCTGCAAGGTGCTACTTTTTCCGTTTGTGACACATAAAAATACATGGACACAGCATGTATAATAAAATGTCATTTCTTTACCAGCACAACAGTTACAGTCATTACTGAAGTCAAAGGTAGTATATTTTACCTGAGCTGTAAAAATACAACCCATAAGAGCACAGCTATGTTCTTCAACCTGTTTATTAAGAGTGCAGCATGAGGTCATATATGTGAAGCTTTTAATATTTGAAAAATAGAAATTTGTTGTTATTGTATTAAATATTCAAGTGTTTGTGCCAGTCTATCAATACTAATGTATCATCCATAGTTTTTGTGAATATTGATCATTTGTTTTAAAATCATCATATTATTAAAAGATGTTCACTTGATATTTGTTGCTTTTTTTTGTTTTTGTAAACAAATACATTTTTGTTCCTAACCATGTTGTAATGGCCTATATCCTATGGCCAGTAGATGTCTCTGATCTTCCAGAAAAACACTGTGTGTATGTATTTAAATATATATACCGTATTTTCCGGACTATAAGTCGCTCCTGAGTATACGTCGCACCAGCCAAAAAATGCATAATGAAGAAGAAAAAAACATATATAAGTCGCACTGGACTATAAGTCGCACTTTTTGGGGGAAATATATTTCATAAAATCAGAGACCAAGAACATACATTTCATCTTGAAAGGCAAGTTATCTTAATAACAATAAAATGGAGAACAACAGGCTGAATATGCGTCTGTTAACATAACGTGAATAGGCGGTATGTTAACGTAACATATTAACAGTTGTCCGTGCTCTGATAGAGAGGCGGTTGCGTTGCATGAAGCGGTAACACCAAGAAGGTCCTCCCGCAAAGTCATTTATATTCATCGCCTTGGCAA